CCCCCCCCCCCCCATTGAGCCCATTTCCCTCAGTGGAAATTAATCTTTTTTTACTTTTATTTCACAGATAAAAAATAAATAAATTGTGAAGACAATAAAACCTCCACAGAAATAGCATTTTTAGTCGTATGTGCGACTTATCCTGGCTTTATGAGCAGAGAAAATCTCCAATAACACTAATAATGTTAGCATGTTATATCTGTTTGGAAAACCTGTTTAGTATAAGACAGTTGTTTTGTCGGTGGACCTTGTGAGTTGTAATGGAGCCAACTTTTGTAACGTTAACTTTGTCAAATGCTAGCTGCTAGGCTAATTTATACAATGTAAAATGCCATAGACTTGTGCTAATAACATTAGCATGTTGTATTTGTGGGGAAAATATGTCCAGCAAAAGACAAGTGTTTGTCTGTGAATGCTGTGAGTTATAGTGAAGCTGATTTGTGTACTTGTGTTTGAAATTGTCTCTATTAGGTCATGTTTAATGTGTGTTTAATGTGTGTTTTGAATCAGCTAAACTTTACAGCACTTCACAGACACCCAGCTGCCAACTAGTGTTTTGAAAGTGTAACTGCAGAGTGACACAGACACACCACCGCACAAGTATAAATGCTCACAACGGTGTAGGCTACGTGTGTAAGCCACAGCGTAGGCTCTGCCTCACAAGTATAAATCCATAAATAAAGTATGGTTCAGTCTGCCCCTGCACTAGGATTCGTCTTTGAACACAGTAGGTAGGCAGATTGAGTGACTGCCTCTGCAACACATTCTCACTCTGACCTCATCACATATCAATGTTTGGTCATGGACTTTCCACATCCAGATATGATGTGCAAGGTACCCTGGGTGCGCTGGTTGTTGACGTTCTGGAAGGCTGTGTCAAATTCTGCCTGTTACATGCATTGTCTTCTTTTAAAATACACTTCTGTTTTCACAGGAAATTTAAGGTTTACATACAGTCAAAATAGATGCCCTATGTTGGTACAACACCATGAACCGACATTTTTTTCCTCCAACAACAAACAGGTGGTTCGTTTATGTAAAAAGAACAGGGTTTGGCTTTAGAATCTTACAGGACACGAACGCTGCTCCTCCGGGTGAAAGTCCATGTTTGTTGGACACATCCACCACCACTCCCACCCACCCTACTTTGACTTTCTCTGCCTTACCTTTCATTCTTTCCCACCGTGTTTCCCTCTGATGCCGCCAAGTGCAGTTAAACTATAACAGCTACCGACCATGTATCATGCCGACATTAAAGGATGGCTTTTTTTTGTCAGTGTCTGACGCCGCAAGTCACTGCCCAAGTGTTGGATTTTGCCGACTTGTGGAGTGAGACCAGGTAGGCTTCTGCTGCTGGAGCACCAACATGCACTGGCATGTCTTTCCTCCATTTGTTTCAAAAGAAAAGAAAAGAAAGAAAGAAAGAAAGAAAGAAAGAAAGAAAGGAAAACGAGAGGAAGCAAAGTCACTTTGTTAAAAAGTAAGAGAGGCACGGATGAAGAGAGGAAGGGCAGGGGTTCATAGAGACTGCGTGCGCACAGGGCCCAGAATCTGGTGCTACACCCGTCTCTTACACACACCGTCATAAACAACAGCTCTGTCCCTTGAATGTGAGTTGAGTTAAGTCCAACAACCAATAAAACTATCACCATTAACTGATTAAAGCACACCTGGATAATGACAGGAACACAGGCTGAAAGATATACATTTAATAGAATATATTACAGCGAGCATGCAAGTAAGATGGATACTTATTTTTAAAAAGATAGGCCCCTGTGCCAATGTACTTGAAGTTAACAATATGTGAGCCTAACTTCTGTCAGAATGCTACTTCTTATTCGGGAATTAAAATATATTATATTTATATATTTAAGCCTGCAGGTGAAATTGTGATAATGGGCTCCCTCTGCCCTTTTAATGTGTGTACAGTACACGCAGCACACGTATTTATATTTAGATGTGCAGTATGTTCGACACCAGAGTGTTACATTGTCACTGAGTGAGCAGCACTTATGACATGTTATAAAACTTGACCTTATAGTCATTATAAACTGGGAGGAGTGAGGGACAAATCAATACAGCATACTGTAGTATCACCATATTTTCCATGGCAATATTTTATCAATATATGGATGCCTAGTATTGATTTTTATTTTGTATTTTTAGAATACACACAAAATAATCAGTATAACAGTATATGAAACAGCTCAACCAGCTACAACATTAAATTACCTATTAGTCAATATAATGATCCAATAATTTAATAACATACCACTGACAGGTGCCCTTCATTGTGCTAAGACTTCTTCTTTTACTTATGTTGAATTTTGAATGAAGGATTTTCACTTTCTTCATAGAGTAGTGATGCTGCTGTTACTTAAGTAGGTGATCTAAACATTCCTTCCACCACTGGAGGGTCCGATTAGCTAAAACTGTTTGTTTTGGCCGATGGGACTCAGAGAACCAGTTCATGTTGTTCCAAAAAACATTCATGACATCAGATAAATTATGAAAATTATCAGAAGACAGAAAAGACGCACTAAAGACAGGCAGGGGACACAGTATGCATACAGATGTCATACGTTAACACCTTTACTTCACCTGACATGTCATGAGCAGGTGGAGGTGTAGATGAGCAGGAAATTGAACTGAGAAATTGTGTAAAAATATCAAACATAGCTAACCTGCTAGACTTCTCTGGCATGTAGATAAAAATACACGTTTCGGAAAAACTGTCAGCTACTGCAGTTTATGATTTGCAGAGGTGCTTCAGGCTCAAAGGCCCCACAGCCACCAGGGGGCCCTCTAAACCACCAAATCAACAGGTGTGGCGGTGTCCCTTCATTCAGTCAGTCATCACTGTATTATATATCACTCCACAGGTGCTTGGTGGCAACAGTGGTACTAGAGATGGCCAAGGTTTATTTCACATTCTGATGCTCGGTTTGAACTTCAGCAGGTCGTCTTGACCATGTCTACATGCCTAAATACATTGAGTTCCTGCCACATGTCTGGCTGATTAGCTGTTTGCGTTAACAAGCATTTGAACAGGTGTACCTAATAAAGTGGCCGGTGTGTGTATATAGTATCAGTTCCCTAAAATGAAGCCATATTCTGACAAAAGCTGTGCTCATATATTGTGAATGTCAAGATTAGAATGATACCACTGATGTGAAGGACAAGCTGGCTGAGGTGTGCAGAGGTGCTGACACTCTTCATAGAGACAATCACTGTGATTCTGTCACAAGCCATTAACGAGTTTGCTCCCCCACATGGTACCTTAACCAGGAGGAGCCCCAACTCTGTCCAGGATGTGGACCCTCAGAGCCTCTCAGATCAAACTGTCATCACTGAGGACAAACAAATAGAGTTTTTACAGCTTTAAACTCTACTACCTTCCCTTCCCTTTACTCTATTTCTTTAAGGGTTAAAGGTCCAGCGTGTAGGATTTAGGGTAGTACAGTAAGTATGTTTTCTTTAGTGTACAATCACCTGAAAATGAGAATCATTGTGTTTTCGTTACCTTAGAATGAGCCGGTTATATCTACATAGGGAGCAGGTCCTCGTCCACTGTGTCCATCATGTTGCACCACCATGTTTCTACAGTAGCCCAGAATGAACAAACCAAACACTGTCTCTTGACAGGACCACTCCTGTTTTTGTGTCGGCCACCGTAGTCAGCAGCCCCTCTGCAACAACAGCATGGGGAAAAAGACGACTTTCTTATCGTGAAACAGCTTTAGTTTGTGTTTACTGGTTTAACTAAACAACTGGATGTTGTAAGAACAAAAGATATTTACCAGCAATAACACATTTCTGCTAAAGAGTTCAATGACTAAAACTATAATCTTACCTCATATAACAAGCTTGTTTTGATCTCACGCCTCTTGACTTTAGCTGTTTGGTTGCTTTCCTCACAACCGTTTCTTTGCTCATGCACTGAGCTGAACTGCCAATCAGATATCTGCCATCTCAGACACCAATGCAACGTGCTGAATCAGCTGAAAAAAAAGCCAACAGTGTGTGATGC